TTCATGGATATTAAATACAAAACTGAATTCAGTTTTCAATTTTCCACGTTACTCACAATTACTTCCAGTAATTGTAGATTTTTGTAGAGGTATTTATTATGACTAATAAAACTTTAGTCTTTTTTTTATAAACAAACTCATTATTTCTTCTCAGACGTTTGGCCATTTGCATTTGTACTTGAACCAAACTCACAACAACTATTTACTTAAGGAGTTTTAAGAAAACATAATTATTTTCTTCAAAACTCCTTAAGTAAATAGAGAGAGAAAAGTATTCTGTTCTTTTCCAGCACTGGTTATGCTGGCTCCAAGTCGCTTACCCATTTCCCCACACCTTCGGAAAAAAAAAAAACCACAACAAGCTTGTTGCAGCGTGTTTAATCATGCTCAACTTACCAGAACACACACACCTTAATTTATTTATTGTTAAACATGTCAGCTTTTGATTTAACATTTTACAAAGGAAATGTTTTTTTTTTACACATCTTTATTGTGTGGAAAAATCCCACACTATAAACAGCCATGACATTTTTTGTATCTTGCATGCCCCCTAGTGGCTGTTCGTGACCTAATTTGTGACCTAACCTAATTCGAAGTCTATCCTCTTACCTAGCAACAGAGCATTATAACTATGTTTGCAGTTCAAGCCTATCGTTTGAACTTTCATCGTTTCATCACGTTACAGCGATTTCTCATAAGCGTTTACTTCACTATTGAACTACTGATGACGTTTTAAGGACGTTGGAAGAAAACACACTATAAACATTGAGCTTTGTAACTGCTGGGCTCTGTGTGTGTGTGTGTGTGTGTTTGCGAACATTTGGTTTATTTGGTCTGTGTTTTTGCCAATTTCTTTATATTTTCCTCCGTCTTGCTACTGTATTTTATGTCCATTGAACAACAGTACAGTGTTTTTAAAACAGCCAGATTTCATTTTTATACCAAGACAGAAGAAAAACCCACAAAAAAAAAAAAGCCAGACGACATAAATGCAACGTTATTAATGCCAACTGTCATAAAGCAACAGGCAAAAAAAGTAACAGAAAACGCCAAATACTGTATATCAGAATTGTGCAGACAAAAAGACTATAGCAGAGTCAGTGTGTCTCAAAGTAAGGTTCAACATGTTTGACCTTGGTGGGCCATAGGCTGTGAATTCCATTTTGGGCTGGTTGTATTGTTGTTGCAGCTACCACTCCCCCGCCGTCCCCTTCTCTTTTTTTCCCTGCTATTCTACACTGTACTGTCAGACACGCCAGTAGTAAATGAGTGCAGCTCATGAGTGCTGCTGATCTGGCATGGTCTGATCCTTTTGTCTACTGTTCTGGTTTATTATAAACAGGCCATGTCAGACTAGACAGGCCTTCGCACAGCAGATTTAACTGAAAAAAAAAAAAAAAAAAACGGCTTAGGGCAGTGGTGGAGGCTCACTGCCCTTTTCCATGTCTGTCAGCCTATCTGTCTCTGATTCTTCTGTCCTGGTCCTAGTTAAGAGTCAGATCATCTGCACTAACCACAGACACTGCCGCGAAAGCTTACAGGACTTTTACCATTAGCGTTGGTCACGTTGGAGAATCAAAAATTAGCAAAACAGAGAAAAATATGTGGCGGAATAATCTGAGCTGCTCTTTGAAGTCTAAACACAACCAGCTGTACACAGAGGTCACCAGAAGAGTGTGGACACAGGAGTGAACTTATTACTCCGAGGAGAGAGACCTCCTCTAAAACCGAGGAGGAGCTGAAGGAAGCCACTGTCTCCAAAGTATTCAGAGTGAATAAATTCACCATGATTAATGGTCCTTTAATTCCACACAGCAGGCTTTATGGCCTCTGCAGCACGGCCAATGTCAAAACTGATTCTGAAGAAAGGGTAAAAAGGAGAAAACCGGTTTGTCCGTTAAACAAACAAAGATGGAAAAATTGTTTTCTTTTTATGGGCTACTGAGCGTCTCCTTTTCTCCCAGTGACTTTTTTTTTCATCCTTTTATATTGAGCTTCCTCGATTTCTCTCACTTTTGGCTTTTATTTCTCCCTTTTTTTCTAATTAAAGGAGCAGTTCGACTTCTTGGAAAGTAGCTTTTTCGCCCTCTTTCCAACTCTGAGATAATAAGATCAATATCAGTCTCATGTCTGCGTGTTAAGTACAGAGCTGGAGTCAGGATGTGGTTAGACAAGCTTAGCGTGGAGAGTGAAAGCAGAGGGAAACTACTCGTCTGGCTTGCTCCCTGCCTGGCTTCCTCATCATGCATTAAAATACTTAAAGCCCTGCGTTGTTTACATCCACTTTTCCCAGCTCACCATGTTCTCACTCGCTGCTGGTTCTATGAGCTTACAGTGAGCAACGCATTCATCGCTTTGACAGGGTTAGATATGCTCTCACTCAGACCTAGGCTGACCCAGGTCTGACCTGATGGCCCCCTGGGTCAATTTGACCCATTACCCCCTTAAGTCTCTTACAAAATCTTTATGCTTATTTGATTATATATGTCTACAAGACATGGAGTTAGAAGACAAATTTAAGTGGAAAAAATACAAAAAAAAGGGTGGAATAGGTGGAAAGAAACACAGTTGTAGAGCCCTGCTCCATTAGTTGGCTGCGCTGGTTCAATATCACTGGTCCAGTAATCATATTCCGTCAGAGCCTTTCCACGAGAGTAATACGTTTAGGGCAGAGTGAGCAATTTCCAATGAATTGTAGGAAATGCATTTTAAGCTAACAGCATGAGTCACCAGGAAATCAACAGTTGATGTGAAAAAAGTTTTTGCTTCATATAATGTCAAAACTGCATTCTCCTGCCTCAGTATGGTTTTATCTTGATGTGTTGCTGGTGATGATAAATCGCTCTTCTTCTTTGAATTGTAGAAGAAGTAGCCAAGTACTACTGGCACGTACTGAGCTTTTCCACCAACAGGTTTCACAGTCGCTTGTAAAAGAAAAGGAGAGAATACAGACAAAGGGCAATGTGTGGTCAGACAAATACAGAACCATGTATAACTATAAAAAAACAACTAAAGGGATATGAAGTCCAAACCCCTATACAAGTTGAAGCCCAAAACTATTTTCACTAATTTCTTAACCCTTTATAGGACCCTTGTTGAAATACTGTGAAAATTTTGACAATTTTCNNAAACATAGATAGTGTATATATATATATATATATATATATATATATATATATATATATTTGGTTACCTGTCTACCTGTAGTGAAATAGATCTTTACTGATTATCTGGGGGAAGATCACATGATTGTTAAACCCACTGAAAAAGAGCATAATATATAACAAATTATTACCAGAATATAGTAACTTTCCCAGTCTTACTATCATGAGAAAATGTCAAATAAAAAAAAAAATCAAGTGTAGGCCCCACAACATGCAGCCAAGTGAATAATTTGTGCTAAAATCTCCAAAAAACATCATATCTGAACATTTCAAAATATCGCTAAAAACAGGTAAATCTACTGTCGTACCACCACGAAAAAATCCCAAAAAATAAAAAGTCCCAGAAATGCCTCAAAATGTGCAATACTCAGTGCAACGATGTGTCTTAGTATCCTCTATTTAAATAAATATGGCTTATAGCCGTCTAACATTAGAGTATGAACAGTGCTGCACTCACCTCTGTGATCCTGATGTTGAACTTCCAAGAGAGGCTGAGGCAGTGAGGAAGTAGTTTTCAGGTTCCTGGCCCTCAGGCCTACTGGTCGTAAAGCCACAGTGCAGTGTATTAGCTGTGCCACAAACCCTCTGAGAAAAGAAACTGCCACTTTCTTTGGCTTGTCGTCTGACACGGGGACATTATTCACAGGAAATTAGAGGTTACTCCTCTACGCCTTGGCAGAGGCAGCAATTACGTCCGGCTCTGGCCTGTTCAGGATCCCATGATTCCCGTTGCTTCACGGACTCCAAATAGTGGAGGGATATCCCTGATGTTTGTTGCCTCTGTTTTGAGGTACATGTGGGTCCTGGCATCTGCCCCACCCTTGTATCTCAACTGGTATGTCTCCCCGTTGGCCTGACCTTCACCCTGTCCAGACTGGAGCAGACTTTTCCCATAGGTCTGTTTAATGGACACAACCACACTTGAAGACTTTATTACATATTACACCAGTCCGATGTGTGGAAAATTTCCTTCCTACGGTCATGACTTTTGTCTCTCCGCATTTTCTTTGGACGTAGTAATAAATATATATTGCTTATTTTAATTGTCCGCCTGTGCTTTGGAGCGTGAGCTGCGTATTGTGATACCGGTGCAATTGTTTTTAAAATTAAACCAGACTTTTGAAGTTGCTTTTTAAAGAGCCCACATGTGTTCTGCAGCAATATTTATTAAAAGCAACTAATGAACAGTAAAAGTCCTTTCCAAATATTAGAAGTGGCTTTCTGTTTCCTTCGGTGTCTGAGGGCCATTTTTACTTGGTGCACAGCAGTGGCTGCAGCGTGGTTTGGTTGCGACGTAGCCACTAAAAACACGCGTGTACACAACGGACCCTCAGAGCTGGGCCACGTTTCTCTGGCTGCTGAGGGACCGGCACGAAAACACGGCCTCTGTTCTCGGTCTGTAAATTAGCTTTTATATCATTACAGCGTGCTACACCACGGGGTCTGTTGGTGTGAGGTTCATGTGTCACACTCACCCGCTGTTTGCTCAGCAGCCCGCTTCTCTGCATCCGTTTCCGTACTTCAGACATTCACGCTGTCACATATTTTGATACTCTTTCTGAAGGGCAGGGGGGCTGTTCCACCGTCCACCAGCATTTGATGTGTTTTCCTAGCACCAGTAAATCCAGACATAGTCACACGGCTAATGAGGTGGTCAGACAATGAGATGTGAAATGAGTGGGCAACTATAACAGCGTT